CTAAACTGATAATTTAGAGATGAAAAATTATGGACTCCAGAATCATCCTCAGGCACTTACAATCCATGCTCACACAAATATTTTTGTAGTAGTAATTTCTGGACTAGTAAACCATTCTCCTTTCTATGCATGCTATTATGCTATTAGACAACTGCAAAACCAGACAGATACTCATTAAGAAAAAAAAAAGTGTTTTAAAAGTTTATAAAAAGCTTTGTATACATGGAAATAGTCCATGTTTAAACATGTTTTGCTTCATAGCCTGCTGTCTCCCAGGCCACCAAGAGAATGTCAGTGCCTGTCCCATTGAGCTATATGTGCTTATGAGCTTAGAGTACTCTGTTTTGAAGATCTATTTGATGTTCACTGGAAAAGCTAAACAAACAAACAAAACGAAGATTTTCTTTTCTGATGTCTGTCGGGTTCTTCTTTCCTTCAGGTTTTAGTGTTTGAACTGAGGTAGCTATCTTCCTTTTAAATTAATTGCTAAAGAGTACTAATTTGTTAAGCTAGATATTGCTTATTCCTTACCTACAATGCTGCAGGATTTGTTTTCTTTGTTTAATTCTGTTGGAGAAGCACTGTCTTTTCAGATAAATAGAAGAGTATTTTCAGTTCAGGTCCCACAGTCACTCTCCCAGTAATATAGATCTATGAGCAGGCTTTCTAACAATAATACTGAAGTACAAGACCTATTTCATCAGGTATTAATTAGAAAATCACTTAAAAATGCAAAATATATTCTTTTCCACAACATACACCATATAAAAAAAATATTTTAATGTGTATACTTTTAAAAATTTGGATCAGATTGAAGCATCCTTTTAGACAAATCACTTCTCATATCCAAGACTGAAGGAGCATTCCAAGGGACATTTTTTTTAAGGATAATTATCCACTCTCCCTTTGTTTCCTTCTTTTCCCCTTTCTAAGGCAAGCTTAGAAAGAGCAGACCAATGCCACCACTTAAGAAAAAAGAAACATAGCAATTTCTCATTTTAAAAAGAAAAATCAGGTTTATTTGCGCTGTTTGTATTCACACAATGGAGCAAAGACACTCTGCCCAGGTATACTTGGAGGCATTTTCCTTGTGAATTTATTCACTCTTTGTGGTTTCATTTGATCTAAAATAGCAGTAATCTGGCCTGTAAATACATATTTGTCCATTATGAGTAGAAAACACTGCTGTAGCACTCATTACTGGTTATTTGGGAGAAAAACTAGCATTTTGTAGCCATTTTCAGCAGATTGATCTTTCCCCTTTGATTTTGCAGGCAAATTGACTTCTGTATGAAATAGCAGATACACTACTTGTGTTAGCCTAGAAATAAATGCAAAGAACTGCTTATATTTTTCTGTTTAATGCATCTCTTTTTTAAGAAATCTTATTTTTGTGAAGAACCATGCGTTGAGGGGCAATGCTACTCAGTAAATTGTAATAGAGAGGGAGGATATGAAGGTAATGATTGATAATACAAATGGAAGGGAGAAATTGGGCCCTAGAAATGTGACTAGTATAAAAATAACAACAGACTTCAATCATCAAAAATGAAATACTCAGTGTAAAATGTTTTTTTCATACGCATATGTTTTAATTATAACTTGTCACATTGACTAATACATACGCTGCGTTAGCTCCAAAGGTTGAAAATATGCTGCACTTAATAGAGTAAGAATGAAATCCTATAAAATCATGCTGAGTTACATTCATAACAAAACAAAAGCCAAAATCTCTATAAACTTAATCAATCTGTCTGACCACTACAGACATTCAGTTAGTCAATACCAATTAGTTTGGTGAATGCGAGACAATGTCTGATAGGTCAGTAAAGTTCATTTCTAGCTATGCATTTAGTTACAAGTGTTACACAGTTTGCAGTCTGTCTCCGTGCATGTTTACAGATCTGCCCACTGTTTAGTAAGAATCCATTCATGTTATTACTTATTACCTTTCTCTTTCGAAAAACTGTTTTCTGAAAATAACTACGAGCTTGCGGGAGGCCTTCCACGGTATCAGTAAACTTCATAAATTTGACTTCAGTTGCAGTGATTTGCATTATCAGAAAATGTCTTGAAAATTTAGGCAACGCCTACATGGCACAGTATTCTGTCAAGAGTCAAAAAATTTCAAAGCAGAGATACATAAGTCAGAAAAGAAGGGCTTTGAAATCTTATCAGCATTTTATAAGGAAGTGTGCAGTACTCATACTTGCTTCTTCACAGAGAACTGCCCTAGCTGAGTGCTAAATTAATACACTATACTCATTCCTGAAGTTAAGTATTTTTTAAAGCTGATTTTGATATTTCTATGGGCAGCCACAGACTGTGCAGTGTTACTTTCAGTGCAAACTCTTAATTAGTGTTGAATATTATCCACAATGCTAGATTTCTTTGCAATAGAAAACACTATTTTAGTGCCATGTGGAAACAGCTAGGCTGCTCTTACATGCACAGCAGTATTTAGGAATCATAGAATCATAGGTTGGAAAAGACCTCTAAGATCATCAAGCCCAACCATCCACCCAACACCACAATGCCTACTAAACCATATGCCGAAGTGCCACATCTACACATTTTTTAAACACCTCCAGGGATGGGGACTCCACCACCTTCCTGGGCAGCCTATTCCAATGCCTGACCACTCTCTCACTAAAGAAATTTCTCCTAATATCCAGGCTAAACTTCCCATGACGCAGCTTCAGGCCATTGCCTCTCGTTCTATTGCTAGTTAGTTGGGAGAAGAGACAAACACCCACCTCACTACAACCTCCTTTCAGGTAGTTGTAGAGAGCAAGAAGGTCCTTCCTCAGTCTCCTCTTCTCCAGACTAAACAGTCCCAGCTCCCTCAGCCTCTCCTCCTAAGACTTGTTCTCTACACCCGTCACCAGCCTCATTGCCCTTCTCTGGACACGCGCCAGCCCCTCAAGGTCCTTCTTGTAATGAGGGGCCCAAAACTGGACACAGTACTGCAGGTGCGGCCTCACCAGTGCCGAGTACAGGGGCACGATTGCCTCCCTACTCCTGATGGCCACATTATTCCTGATACAAGGCAGGATGCCGTTGGCCTTCTTGGCCACCTGGGCACACTGCTGGCTCATGTTCAGCCGGCTGTCCACCAACACCCCAAGGTCCTTTTCCACCGGGCAGCTTTCCAGCCACTCCTCCCCAAGCCTGTAGCGTTGCATGGGGTAGTCGAAGAAGAGGGAACCAGACTCTTCTCAGTAGCACCCATTGACAGGACAAGAAGCAATGAGTACAAATTAAAAGACTTTAAACTCCATCTGAGCAAAAGAAAGAACTTTTTCACTGTGAGGGAGATCAGACACTGGAAAAGCTTTCCCAGGGAGGTTGTATAGTCTCTGTCTCTGCAGATATTCAGAATTTGATTGGACATAGTCCTGGACAATCTGTTCTAGCTGATCCTGCTTTAGCATTGTCTAGGGATGGCAGGGCAGGGGCAGGGGGAGGGGACAAGGTAATCTCAAGAAGTCCATTCCTACCTCAATTGTTCTGTGATTCTGTGTTTCTCTAAGAACAGTTTTCTGATAATTTTGTTCTATAGACCAAATGGCTTGCTTATAATGATGTCTTGAAACTGTGTCAAGAGCTCTACTAAATTCAAGATATATCACATCTACTGGCTATTCTCTAAGTCTGTAACGTCTGCTGCCCTGTCAGAGAGAAATTAAAGTGGTTTGACATATGTTGCTCTTGACAAATCCATTTGGGCTGCTACTCATTTCCCTGTTTCCTTCCAGGGACTTACAAATAGTTTTTTGATCATTTATAGTGGTACTGAATGTTGGCGGGCCTATATTTCCTCCTTTTCCTCATTTTAAATAAAGAAAGAAATGCTCTTCCATTCTTCTGGTGCCTGATCTATGTGAATCTCAAAGATAACCCATGAGGATTCAGCAAACTCAAAGCCATTTCTTACATACCCTAGGATGAAATTCTTCTAGCCTACTTCATTTGAAAGCTTCTTATCTAAGCACCCAGTACACTATATAGTGTTTACTGAAGGCTGAGCTCTTACACTTTTATTATGGGAATTCATTCTATAAGTCAATAGATCAAAACTGACCATTTTATTAAGGATTAATGTAAAAAAGATCATTAAATTTCACTGGTATCACCTGTAGATAGTATACCACTCCCACTAACTATTCACACTATCTTATGATCATGAACATCCAAGTACTTTATTTTTTTCTCTACATTCTCATGCTGTACATTTGCGTTTGACTGTAACCTACTTTCTGCTCCCTGCATCTTTCTTCCTGAATATGTTCTTTCTCTGAAGTCAAAGAAGAGCTAATGATTTAGTCCAGTTCATCTCCTATCCACTTTCTGTTTTTCTTCTACATTGGGATAGTGTGCACTTGTGACCTTAGTATCATTTCTGTAAGAACCTGCCAGTTCTCTTTTTCCCTTTGAATAAATGTTCCACTGAGAGGATGCCAGTTTTCGAAGTTTATTAAAGTCTGCCTTCCTGAAATCTATTGGTTTTCATTGTCCTGTTATTACTTCTTCCTTTCTTAAAGATTATGACCTCTATTATTTCATAATCACTTTACCCAGGTTCCTTTGTCTGGTTCTTTATTGTTAGAGCACAGCCTGAGTACTTTACTTATCAGTAACTATCCGCTGAACATATATACATGTGAGTGTGTGTGTGTATGCAGAGAGAGATAATTCTCATTTTACAAATAAGTGTATTGATGTACATATAACCAGGTTATAACACTGTCATAACATGACTAATTACCTACATCAGGGATATTTACATTAAAATTGTTGTTGAAAGTGTATACCCGAGCAGTGGTTTATGAAATTCATTCCTGACCTGCCTCTTCCCAGATAATTGTCACATCTGAGAATATAGGTTGACAGTATCTCAATAAAGTTTCAATCACATTTCTTCTTTCGACTTCAGCATAGTATTGTGCTATTGGGCTATTGTGTATAGCCAGCAGTGTACCCTGGCTGCCAAGAAAGCCAATGGGATCCTGGGGTGCATCAAGAAGAGTGTGGCCAGCAGGACGAGGGAGGTTCTCCTTCCCCTCTACACTGCCCTGGTGAGGCCTCATCTGGAGTACGCTGTCCAGTTCTGGGCTCCCTAGTTCAAGAAAGATGAGGAGCTACTGGAGAGAGACCAGTGGAGGGCTACAAGGATGGTGAGGGGACTGGAACATGTCCCCTACGAGGAGAGGCTGAGGGAGCTGGGCTTGTTCAGCCTGAAGAAAAGGCGGCTGCAAGGGGACCTAATAAATGCTTATAAATATCTGAAGGGTGGGTGTCAGGAGGATGGGGACAAGCTCTTTTCAGTGGTGCCCAGTGACAGGACAAGGGGCAATGGGCACAAAATGAGGCACAGGAAGTTCCGTCTGAACATGAGGAAGAACTTCTTCTCTTTGAGGGTGAAGGAGCACTGGAACAGGCTGCCCAGGGAGGTTGTGGAGTCTCCTTCTCTGGAGATATTCAAGACCCGCCTGGACAAGGTCCTGTGCAGCCTGCTGTAGGTGACCCTGCTTCGGCAAGAGGGTTGGACTAGATGACCCACAGAGGTCCCTTCCAATCCCAACCATTTTGTGATTCTGTGATTCTGTGATTGTGCAAGAGCCTGCAGTACTTTCCTTAGCTAGGCCCTTAATAGTACTTGCCTAAAACTGGCAACGGTTGTGACTATGCACCACTTGTTATCTGTGGAGGATCATCCATATAGCCTCTCCAAAGCAACAATGATATGTCATTATCCATAAAACTTAATGGCAAGCTTTATCACATTTTTTTTAGTTGTTGCATTGAAAACTGGCAGTGTGTGGTCACTAACTTATGAACACATAAGTAAGAACAGCTGAACCATTAGGAACTCCCCCCAAAGAATTGTCCACTTGCAGAAAAACACAACAACAAACCAAAAAACCCACCAGCTTCTTTAGCTATCTGGCAATGGCTGTGCGAGCTTATTCACTCATGAAAAGTGACATGCCAGTCCAATCACTATGTTCTTGGAGAATGGCAACATCCAGAAGACAGGTAAAAATGAACTCTTAATTTTTATGTATTGGTTTGCTACATAAGGCATACCACTGGTAAGCCTGGCAAAGTTTCTGATGGAACCAGATATGGAGCCAAGTATTCATGATGCAAGAATTCCCTCTGACACCTACTTAGAGAGCAAGTCTAGACAAGGAAATGTGCAAAACTGAAGTCAAAAAGAAGGAAAGGTCTATATTTCCATTACCAATGATGGAAGTGTGATCTCAACAGAGATCTGTCACTGCATATGAATAAAAACATTACTAGAATTAGTGGTTTTATTCTGAAAAAAAATCCTTCATATTCCTTCATCCTCGTCTTCCTTTTTAGACAGCACATCATCTAAGATCGGTAAGATACTGTTGTAAGTAATTACCCAGTTCAACATACAGAAAAATGGTCATGACATTTATTTAAATTGAATTGTCACTGTCTTCTCATTAGAAATATTAAAATACAGTCATAAAAGCTTGTTGGTGTATTTTTTAGTATTTTAATTTTGGCCACTACAAATGCTGAACTCACCATTTGCTGGCCCCACATACAGCTCTACAAAGACTGCAGATTAAATGACTTCGCAGCACAGTCTTATGATAGGCCTGGTCTGTAATTCTGGAATAGTTGAGCTGAAGACAGAACTGAAGTAAACAATCTATTGTTTGCATAATTTCCTGATGGCCAAGAATATTTACTTGTCGAGTAATTTGGATGACCTGAATTAAGGTCCTGTGTCTGCCTGGGTCATCCAAACTTATGTCTTTGATTTCTTTAGAGATTTTCTTTAAACCTACTCTTAGACGAAAAAGATAACATTTTCCATTGGGGCTGTCATTGTACTAAGTAAGCAAGAATGATGGAAGAAGAGGGAGAAAAAACCAAGAACATAATTACAGCTTCATGTTAGAGTTCTTACTCAAAATGAGATACACAACTTTCAGATCTGCTACCAGCATTTGCTGTTTGTTTGTTTGCTGCCAACTGTAAAGTTGTGTTACTCGGGATCCAGAGAAAAGAACCTGGCTTTGCTTTCTCCCACCATGCAGTCACTTTCGTTTTCCTTCCTCCAGTCCCATGACTCGTACTACATCTGACTATGCTTCAGCAACTGGGGAATTCAAAAGCTGTGTCCAGAACAAGTAGAAGCCCGGTGTTAGATAGGTACCTTGAGAGTTATTAACATTTAATTGTTAAATGCACATATTTCTCATTCGATTATTCCTTTGTTTAAGCTGGCAATTGGGGCAGACAGGGCAGGTAATTTTTTACAAACCTTATCAACTCTGCTGTACAAACAGGAAGGTTCTTTTGCCAAATAGATATATGGAACGGCATGTTCATCAGCTAATTCAATTAAAATGTTGAGCTAGAAGGGCTAATGCCTGAAACTGTTGTTTACTTTTTTTAGTATATTTGACAATAAAAAATACTTTGAGAATAAGTAATGTAATTATTGCTAAGTGCATTTCAAGGGTGTGGAAATTACTTGTCAAGGAGAATAAATTGTGTAGATATAAGGCATTACTCTGATAACTTCACTTTTGTGTTGAAGAATGCAACGATGAAATGGAGTGTTGTAAAATATAATTTTCCAGGGATTTTACTTTTCTGTCTCAGCTTCACTGACTGAGAATTGCATTTCATTTTCAAAGAACAGGCAACTTTTTACGTTATACAATTTTTGCCCTTGAAAACTGTCAGTTGCAATATCCAGAATGAAAATCTGTTATTAGTATCCTGAGAGCCTGCAAGAACGTGTTTTTATATATGGACTAAACCAAGGATGCCATCTGAGTAGAAGTAAGTATGTAAAATACATCAATTCTGTAACACAATATAATTTCTTATAGCTGAGAAAAGATGACAAGAAGTTACTGTTTCTTCTACTAGAAAAGTCTACAATTTCTACAAAAAAGTGTAAAAAAAGCTTTATGGTATGTCTTCATTTAAATGCGCCCTTCTACTCATTAATAAAGTAAACTAATTAAAGATAGATGATTGCTTACTTGCTAGAGCTCTTGGGAAGCATCTGAAGGGCTCTTATCATTTTAATACTACAACAGCTTGGATGTAACTTTTTGTTATCGTTAAGTTTGTGCTAGAAAAAAAGATTAACTGATTTCACAAGCCTAACCCATTTACACCATGTGCATGGAATTTTTCATGTGCCAAATTGGAAATGATCAGATCAACAAATGAGGGAAGTTAAACTCTGCCTGTTCAAGTGTGAAAGCCATTTAACACACAGTAGCACTGCACAGCAGTTTACTTTAGGAAAGTAACTTGACACAGCAGTTAGGCTTTACCAAGAGCATAATTTTACGCTAATTCTAGGAATAAAAATCTTCCTCTAGGGAAAGTTGTCAAGAGCCTTTTAAAGGATCAAGCATGGTCAAAGTCCCACTTTAGCCCTCATGGTACTTACTGACATAAACTTACCATATTATTACCAGGTGTCTCAAGGGGATCTACCAAATTCAACGCTGTTTTTCTGATCTTTCATAATATTTACTGGGATACCATGTGCTGCAGGAAAATGACAAAGAGAGCTGCCACTGCTGAATCTGTCATGTAAACCCTCTAATGTGTTATTATGTGTTATTCTTTCCATGTATTCACCTTGCTAGCTTCGACCAGCACTATTCTGAGAATTTTGATTTCATTGGCTTTGGTTCATCTCCTGTAAGGATAATGATAGGGAGTGGACATCTGTGAGACCTAAAGGCTGCTTGACTGACAGCAAAGCAATATGTGGGTGTGTGGGTGTATGTAGAGTAGTTCATGGTGACAAGAAGCTAAGAATAAGATTTTTGCTTTGGGACAACACAGACCCAAAACTTGCAGGAAATGGAGCCCTCTTCAGGAAGACAGTGGCCAAGTATTAGAGTCCAGAGTTATTGTGTCTGCCTCCCGGCTCAGGAGTGCAATATACATGAAAGGAATTATATGGCTTATTACAGTAACAGCTCTAAACAAGTAATTTAGCTCCTGAGCTGTGATTGTGCAAGTATTTCACATGGCAGTAAACTTCACTGCAGAACAGGAGGCGACATCTTAGTCTCTGCAACTGTCCAATGAAGTGTGGTTCAGCTGAATCTGTATTGAACTGAACACCCATGATCACATAAAGATTGTACTCCCATAGTCGCAATGATGTTTTCTTGCTCTGACTAAGTAGGGTTATCTTCTGGACATGATCCCTTTCTACTCTTTCATCTAGGATTCTCTCAGCTGATTAGAGAATCATGGATTTAAGGTTTGGAGCCTGGAGTAATACACTTGATATTCACCACACTCTAATCTACAAAAAAAAATAAACACATTCTAGAAAACTCTTGTAGATCTTCCTCTTATGCCACTAAAAGAAAGTGATGAAATATACGTGCAAAAGTCTGTCTCTGCTCTCTAAGTCACTTACAGAGAAAATAAGCTGCAAAACTCCATGAATTAGGGATAAATATCTTCTCACAGAGATGTCTATATTGACATGTGTGTCCCTCACTGCACCCTTCTGGACAAGTTGTCCAACTGTGAGTTGACCACGTGGATGACCTGGGTGAAGAACTTGCTGAAAAGCAGAGCTCATAGGGCTGTAGTGAATGGGGCTACTTCTGGCTGGTGACTGGTCACCAGCGGTGTTCCTCAGGGTTCAATTCTAGGACCAGTTCTGTTCAACGTTTTTATCAATGAACTGCATGCAGGAGTTGAAAGCACCATTAGTAAATTTGCTGATGATACTAAACTGGGAGGTTCTGTTGACTTTCCTGAGGGGCAAGATGCCTTGCAAAGGAATCTAGATAAATTAGAGCACTGGGAAATCATCAATCGCATGAAATTTAAGAAGATTCTGCACCTGGGACAGTGTAACCTTGCGCACATATCTAAATTGGGAGAGGAGTGGTTGGAGAGCAGCCCTGCTGAAAGGGATCTGGGGATGCTGATCGGCAGCAGGCTCAGTAGGAGTCAGCAGGGTGCCCTGGCAGCCAGGAGGGCAAACCACGTCCTGGAGTGCATCAAACACAACATAACCAGATGGTCAAAAAAGGTGATTATCCTGCTGTATTCAGCACTGGTACAGCCTCACCTTGAGTACTGTGTGCAGTCCAGGGCCCCAGAATTTAAGAAGGATGTTAAGTTACTTAAATGCTTCCAGAGGAGGGCAACAAAGCTGGTGAAAAGGCTGGAAGGCATGTCCTACAAGGAGAAGCTGAGACTTTCAGTTTGTCTATTTTGGAGAGAAGGGGACTGATGGGAGACCGCACTGCTCTCTACAGCTTCCTGAGGAGGGGAAGTGGGGAGGGAGGTGCTGATCAATTCTCTCTGGTATCCAGTGATACGACATGTGGGAATGGTTCAAAGCTGTGACTGGAGAGGTTCAGACTTGACATGAGGAAGCTTTTCTTTACTGAGAGGGTAGTCAAGCGCTGCAAGAGGCTTCCTAAAGAGGTGGTTGATTCCCCTTGCCTGCCAGTGTTTAAAAGGCATTCGGACAATGCCCCTAATGACATGCTTTAACTTTTGTTCAGCCCAGAATTGGTCAGGCAGTTGGACTAAATGATTGTTTTTGTTGCCTTCCAACTCAACTATTCTATTCTACATGAAATACAAACTATGTATATTATTATGGGGTCATAATCAGCATTGTCTGTCTTTATAAAATTATTTCCTTTCTTGTTGCTTGCTTTATGTTTTCTTTCTTCTGCACTTATGTAGCTGCTACACAAACAGCCTTCTTCCCATCTATCAAATTTACCTGGTGCTTCTGCTTTCTTTTTGTTTCTATGGAAACAAAGACAATTTTTAAGGAGATAGAAAGAAATGCAGGTCATCATAAAGCCATTTCTCAAGAACTGACATCTTGAGGTATTCTAGTTTTCTCCAAGAATTTCCACCTTGATTTGCTTCCAGTCAAAACTAGGGCATCAGAAAAGAGAAGGTTGGAACCAATGGGGATAGATGATACATCTTGACCACTCCCATTGTACAGTCTGGATATAATTAAGATACACCTGAAGTCTGGTATTCTTTCCTGGAAACTGGGAAGCTCTGGTGAGTCCCACAACTTCAAAATGTACTAAAAATTCCAGGATCCTGAGCATTTCCTGGGCAACAGGGATGCATTTGAACTCCAAATAACCAAACCAAGATGTTTCCCAATAGCTCTGAATTAGACACTTTTTGTGACACTGAGATTCACACCCTGAAAGTCGTGGTGTTTTCCATTTTCTCTGTTCCAAGGTACAGCAAGATCAATATTCAAGACACTGCCTACCATGAAGATAGTGAAATGTGTATGTCCCTGTTGTATACTCTAATAGTAGTAATGAATGGTTGTAACGGCTACTCCTGCTTCAGTTGTTCTTCTCAGAACCTTCTCAGAGGTTCCCATTTTCACACCAGCTGCTCATGAAGGAGCTGCTGACAGTTTAAAAGTTACCATACTGTCATTAATTTTAGAATTTCTTTATATAACAACACATGATTTTCAGTGATTCCAGAGATGCTAAAAAAGAAAAAAAGCAGCCAAATGAGACCTGACTAGTATATTGCTCAGGATGGGAATTATTTCAGTTATTTGGAGGTAAAATGACCTTAGTTAAATTTTTTTGCCAGTCAGTAAGAAATAAAAACCTTGGGACAAAGCAGGAGAATGATCAAGACATGGAAGGGATGTTCTGATGATATACAGCTATAAAAGAGACCAAGGAGATCTGGAGATTCATGGTCAGAGCCCTTGCATCCATTAACAAAGAAGAAAGAAATGCCTTCTGGGAACCAAAGTTGCCATCAAGGGATTTCAAAAAAGGGAAAAGAGAATATTCTCTATGGAAGAGAATGTTCTATTCCTAAAATAATTCTCAAGGACTAATCTTGGATATCGCAATAGACAGCTAAGTAAAACATGCAGACTGCGCTTGAAAGAAAAAAAATAAAGAAAATTTAACAAAATGAAAAATGAATAGGTCAGAGAATAATACAGACAAAGTTTTAATGCAGCTACGTGAACCTATGGTAACATCTCATACCTGCATTGTTTCAGACAGTACTGCTATGTGAGATGAGATTCAGAGGAGGATACCTTTTTCAGAAGTGTACTCAGAATAATTAATGTCAGAAAAAAAAGTGCTTCATATTACAATATTTGTTCATCTTGTCACCCTAGGCCAATGTCTTTGATTTTCTCTGTACCAAAGCCAATGAACCGCTGTTACCTGGCTCACTGTCACCTTCTGGCATCCTGCCTTAAACATTTTAGACAGATGTAAAGTCACTGAGAGTTCATCTGTGCTTCTTTGTTTGTTTTCTGTGAAAACCTAACCCATTTATAGCAGAGTAGATGTAATCCAGCTTTTCCAGGGAAGCTTCTCGTGTGACAATTATCTCTGCTTGCTTTGTTTTCCCAGAACTTACCAGAATCATCTAATTAAAGTTACAGCTGGGAAGGTGCAGTCAAGATCTCACTGAGCAGTGCTTTCTTGTAGGCTTCACCCCGTGACAGTAAAACAGTGATGTTTAGAAAATGAAGCTCTCTGCAAAGTTGATGCCTCCTTTGCTGTAGACATGGAACCAAGTGGCATAAATGAGATAACCTTGCTTGTAAGGAAAGGATGGTCCTATCTTTGAAGCAAATGAATTATGACTGAAGAACTTTTGGTTTACTTCTGTCTTTGATACCGTTCCTTTCAGGCTACTGAAACCAATGCAACCCATTTTTGTACTATGTGCAGCTTGTTTCCTGGTTTTCTGACATTAGGCCTGAGTGGCTTGTTTCCAAATTCCTGAATGCCCATACTCATGACTGATGCTAGAGGGTTCTACCCTGAACACTTACAGATCTGCAGGCTGTTAAATGGTCCTTAAAGACTGACAACAAATGTCAGTGGACTATTTTTGCTTCTAATGATTCTGTCTTCAACTCTCTGCCTGCAAACAAGTAAAATCCCTAGTGACCTTCCTGTACCCTGTGAAAGCAAACCTGTTACTATTTCAGCAGTGTTCATATATTATAGTGATGAGTACCGTAGGAAAAAACCAAGAGATTTAATAATTCTCTTTTCAGAGTGTGTTTTAAGAACGTGCAGTAAATAAGGCAGGGGGCAGATTTTGAATAATGAGTAAAAACAAAATCTTGAAGAGTTGTTCATTAAGCACTGTCCATTTTGTGCTCTGAATAAGACAGGAGACATCTGCAACAAAGCGCTAGATGAGAATGTAATTAAAGAGACCAGATTTTTAGTGTATTTAATACTACCTTATCAATGCTGCTCTTTTAACAAGAGATTTTTTAAGGATTATTTTCTTCAGTTTTGAGGTTGTGGTGGTTCAATCCCCCCTCACACCTGGCGATCCCAGAACCAGCCAACATTGTATTCCTGCTTGCACTGCAAGAATAGTTAGCTGGAGTCACTGGCCATTATTCTTGCCTTTGAATCGGTACAACTTGGGTCTTTCCTTGTCTTTGTACAATACCAGTGAGTTGGGCTTATCAGGCACTCCCTGACTGCACCAGGAACTCCAGCTGCCTGGAGTCGCACCTTCCCAGTAAATGTCAGAACTGTACATTCTCGGTAGTACTGGAACTGTATAGTTGCTGTCTAAATATCAGGACTGCATCACATGGATTGTAACCAGGATGGAAAATTACTGATGCTTAAAGTCAATCATCTTGAGACCCTATACACAGCAGTACCAAGGTAGGCCCTTTGAGCTCTTCTGGTCTGCAGCAGGCTGTGCCCAGTAACCCCCTCTGAGTGGGATGCTTCGCAGAGTAACTTATGAACTACCTGAGCTGATCTCCTTGAGACTTAGTCTTCATCCACTGAGAAATCATATGATTTCAAGTGAGTATTTCACTGAATTTGAGGGGAACTTCTATGATGGTGTCTGCATGTGTGTATCGATTCAAAGCAGAATATCCTGTTACTGTGACTGTATTAGTAAATTCTTTCTAATCACTCTGTAAATGCTAAGTTAACCAGTGATTAATAGCTGCTAAATTCCTATGATTGTCTCTCTCACTAAACTGTGAACACCATGAACTGCTGCTAAACATATCCTTATGACATAAATCATTGTGGTCTAAGGCCAGGTCTGGATCCAGCCATACCTAGGCTTCTCTCTGACAAGGAGTTTAGAAAGCAAGGGGTTCCATTCTGAACCTTGTGACTCAATGGTAGGGTCTCCCTTACCCTTTACACTTATCTTTTACCTCTGTATAAATAATTTTCCACTCAAAACCTCTTTTGATTTTATATTCCATTTATTTAATAAGTATTAGAGTGAATCTTGCCAACTAACTTTGTAAAATCAAATTTTCTAAATTTTCAGTAAAATCTTTTTTTGCAAAACCTTTGAGTGATTAAGTGACCTAAACGTTTATTTGCAACAGAGGCATGGAAACTTGTGATTACTATCTATGAAGATGATGAACAATAAGGAAAAAAGTTGAAAATACATAAAGTAATATATAGTAGAGAATATAAATCAGGAGTTTTTGCTCTGTCTTGCACTCTAAACAAATAGGCGACATCAATGAGATTTAAATGCATCAACTTATGTCTTTTTAAAAGTCTGAACAATGAATAATTGCACAACAGGATGAGCTGGAACATACAACATTGAGGTCAAGGATGTAGCAGGTTTTAAAGGTAGATTAGACATTGAAACAGTTTAAGGAATATATAAAGTTCCATGTTTCAGTGTTAGAGCCTATGTCCAAAGGGGATTACAAATATACTTGTCTGATAGCTGGTTCATAAACCAGAACTTACACAGATGTCAAACTTTGAAAACAATGGCTATTGACAGAAACTGCCTGAACGTTTTGTGACAATTCCAGTATGAACTGATTTTAATTTTTAACTTCTTTTCCCATATATTATCTTCAGATATTTGTAAAATACATTTTTCTGTTGTCTTTGTTTCCTACTCTATTATTTCTTTAATACTGACAAGGTATAAGAGAGTTCTGTGGTTATTTTTTACAGGTGGTGAATTTATTTAAGTCAGTAAAAACATTAGGACTGAATATCCTTTAATAAAGAGAAATGGTTCATCGGGAACCTCATTTGAAGAACCAGACTTATTTTTAGTCTTGATTGCATGAACTATGTTGCTATTTTTCAGAATTATATAAATTCTGTTCCTTTGTATTTATTTTGGGCTAAAAAGTGCATGTCATTTATAGAAGACTATGTGAGCATACAAATTGACACTAATAATTGTCAGTTATTGCAAATGAATAAAGGCACATTACAAAAGTCAAGTTCTTACAAGAGTTATCAGACACATCTTTGAACCTATCAAGAAGTCCACATTTTCCATGAATAGTACCACCACGAATTCCATTAAACACCTGAAATTATCAGTTAAAATCCTCACTAATGAAACTGTCATAGTATTTTTCACATCTATATTGCAGATCAAGTATTCAGAGGAAAAACAGATAAATGCTCTTGTATCCTTAAGGCAGATGTATGTTTGACAACAGGAAAGTACACCTATTGATTAATTCAGAGCATAAATTACAGTACATTGCAGAAAATGGAAATGCAAGTAAATTTACTTACTTGTGCCCATCCTCTTTTATTTCATGGCTCAAACATTTATGATTTGCTGTCTTAGCTGCTCCAAGTCCAGGTGTCATAATTGAAGAACATGTGGTTTTGTTCCCAAACAAAGGGGCTTAGAAACAGAAAGGAGAAAGAGGTTATTAATGAAAAATACTATATATAGATTCTCTCTCTATACATATATATATATAAAATGAAAAATGCAAGTTATTAATGAAAAATACTACTGAATAAATGCTCTCCTGTAATAACAGCAGACAGAATCTAACTTCCCAGCTGTCAACAACTCTAAGCGAGCTTGGACTCTGTACTAATCAGCATTCACTGCTTTTCAATCTGCCTTGGAAAGGTGAGGAAAAGCAATAGTGACATAGGATATGTTGGACCCCCACTACTTGGTATCTGTCTACAAGTCGCAGGTAGCGTCAAAAGAGGCTTTGAATTTCAGAGCGGCAGAAGATTATTTTGCCTGCTTCAACTCATTGGCATTTGTGGCACCATGGCTCTGCCATGCAAATTGAAAGCCTCAGCAGGCTACCGCTGCCAAAAGCCATTCTCCTTTAATGCTTCCACTCTTGCTGCCACTGGGGACTGGTTTTAGAGGCATCCTAGAAGAGCTTCTGAGACCATGAGCCTACTGTAAGCGCCATAAACATTTAAAAACCATCTACCGTGTAAAAGCCGAATTTCCCTAGCCCATTGGTTTTATTTTTATTTTTTATGTTTTTCCATAAAGCACTGTGTATGTCTCCCCCAGAAAGCAAGTAGAAATTAAAAGACAAAATACTGCTTGAGAGGACCTGAGTTGATCAATCCTGAACCAAACATTCAAAGTTAAGTCAGAATTACTAGCGCACTCTCCACTCACAGCACATGCTGGTTTGTTTTTCGGTAGTGCTCATTTAAAATTTCAGTTGTGAAGACTCTGCTATTCACTTGAACAACTGATACCCTTTAGGTTTGCTTCTAACTCCCCAAAGTAGTAATTTTAGGACAAAATGATAACTAGGATCTTATGCCTTGCTCCTCAGATTTCACGAAACGACATTAATTTAGCCACATGCCTGCTGTGATGTTAAAGATTTTCTCAGCCATTTTCAAATGAAAATGGTCTGTAACACACCATAACACAGTGGCATGATCAGGACATATAGATTCTAGCTCTACTTCAACATTAAGCTTCCAGAAGCCTTCAATATATTCTCTAAATGGAAACAAAAGATGATGTTAGATGTTAATTCACTGAAATTCTTTTCAGATGAGAGAACTCAAATTACCAAATTACCAACCGCTGTCACACTTTTTGATAACTCTGTTACAGATATTCAAATCAGTTTATGTGCAGACTTTCTTAAGACATATTTGCTCATCGTGTATGACCATGACCATAGCTGACATGTTGTTGCCTATGATATCTTTGGCATTTATTTCAGGACAATCATTTGGGGGTTGGACTAGATGACCTCTAGGGGTCCCTTCCAACCCAAAACTTTCTATGATTCTATGATTTTAAATATATGTACAATGATATGGATGTACTGTGACAGTTTCCCTCAGAAAGGTAAATAGTTTTCTCATTAGGCAGAAATAGTTTACCTGCTAGAAACACACGACTGCATTTGACCACCTTTCACTTTTATTATGCTAATTGTACTCGTTGTTTTGCAGAAACCTG